TTTTTGTGATGCACATTTTCTTTGCATAAAACTCTCTCTTATACATGAGTTGCTGTGGATTTGTTTCTCCAAAGTACCTAGACTAATACAACTACTTATGACTTTTCTGTAACGCAGGAAAGGGTAAGTAGGGATTGTATCATCAAACTGAGCTCTGTAGGAATCAGTTGGTGTACCTTGCTCGCATTGATAAAATTAAATAGCCATTAAAACCCGTATTGCATTTTCAGTTATTCATTTCACTTAAGAATGTAGTCCTTGTGCCTATACTCAACCTCCGTTGAAATTGATCTAAGACCATCGGAGTGTAGCAACGGGAAAGTCTGGGGCAATGATCATTCCTACACAATAATGTTAAAACTTTGCATGTTGACAATAGGCTCTTTTTTTAAAAAAGATAATTTTATTGGGGGCTCTTACAGCTCTTGTAACCCATTGTGTCAAGCACATTTGTACATATGTTGCCATCATCCTTTCCAAAACAAAAAGATGATGACAACATTTGTACAGATGTGTGTGGCACAATGGATATATGTATGTATGGTGATAAGAGCTGTAAGACCCCCCCCCCCAATAAAAAAACATTTTCTTTCTACTTGAGCCCTTGGTATCAGCTCCTCATTTTTTTCCCTCCCTCCTGGCCTTCCCTCCCTCATGAACCCTTGATAATTTATCAATTATTATTATTTTCATATCTTACACTGACCACTGTCTCCCTTCATCCATGTTTCTGTTGTTTAGCCCCTGATGGGGGGGTGTCAGTAATACATCGATCATTGTGATCAGTTTCCCCTTTCTCCCCCCACCTTTCTCCTACCCTCATGGTATCATTACTCCCATTATTGTTCCTGAGGGGTATATCTGTGACAATAGGTTCTTAATAATGCTATTAAAATAATAATCAAACTTTGGGATAAAATTTCAGATGCATTTACTCTGGAAGTTTATTCTTTGATAGTGATATTTGACATTAACCTTGGCTTCAGCAGAGGGATGATTTTAATTCTCAGCCCTTTGGAATTTGGCAGGAATGAGCATTCAATGACCCTCCCACTGACGCATAATGCGGCATGAACATATGGGGAAAGGCAAAATGAATTCCAGCTGCTGGAATTCAGGAAGCATGTGTGAGGCACAGGCATTAAGGTGGAGAGCAAAACATGAGCTGGCTTCTAAGCAAACGAGTGATAGGGAAGGGGATTTCTCGTCAAAGAGTTTACTTGAATCCCTGCTATAAAGTTACATGTCGCTGGTCATGGCACTTTGTCTTCTCTGATTCTCACTTTCTACTACTTTGACCAACTCCTAGCTCCCAAAATGAAATCCTCCCCTTTTTGCTTTCAAGTTTATGTCTTAAAATTTCCGCAGCTCTCCGATAAAATACATCTTTTACAAGAATGCTTAACCACACCAAGGAAACGATTTCCGGCAGAAACTCTTTGATAACAAGAGAATGGCTGCTGGCATTAATTTGCATGTGATGATTCAGTGTGGCACACTTTATTAATTACTCTGGCTGGAAGCTTGAAGATAACACTAATTAGGGCTTGTGTACATTAAATCAATAGATTTGGCGGTTTACATGATCGTTCACTTTCACTTAAATCAAACCCTAAAAACTAACAAGAAACTTATTCTGCCCCTTATGCGAATGTTTCGTTTAGTGGACTCAAATTTGTTCTCTTTAGTATGTTCAGCACGGATTCTTTTTTATTGGGTGAGAGGGGATCCGAGGCAGAGAGATTCCCTACCACGTGCATCTCGGAGGACTGCTTTTACATGAACAGTAGTCAGTCTGCTCTAGTTAAGTCAATGGTAACAAACACACCCAAACCTCAGTTTACTTCTTGATCATATTACAAGTCAACTCCTGTAATTGGCTGACTCATGTGATTTCTCCTCCTAACTCCCAGGCAGAAAGATCTACCTCTGTTAGACTATATCTCGCTCTCCCTGTAGAGGGTCAAAACATAGCAATAACTCTTCAACCTTCCACACAAAACTTATATATTGTCACTTCTACCCAAGCCCTATTGGCAAAAGCCAAGATTCCTATTTGTCAGTACTTCTTAAGGAGAAGAACATTAAGTGTACCAAGCAAGGGCTTGCAGAAGAATGAATAATCTGCTTTGGTAGAAGTAGAGACAGAGTGTTCCTTAGAAGTGAGGTTGATGAGATTTTATCTCAGGTACTTTGGACATGCTGTCAGGACGGACCGAACCATGGAGAAGGACATCAGTGAATAAGAAAGACCTTTTTCCTTTTTTTTTTTTTTTGGAGGGAGACCTGTGAGAAAGATTGGCACAGGGGCTGCAACAATGAGCTCAAACTTAGCAACTATTGTGCGGGACCTGGGAATGGTTCATTCGGTTGTACACAGGGTCACTCTGAGTCAAAACTAATGATGTCACTTAGCACAATGACAATATATCCCTAGTAGAGTTATTTTGAGGGTTGAATGATTAAATGAGGTGCTAGCATAGCGTTTGATGTATATTGCCAACACCCACTGGAATCAAGTCAGCCCAGACTCCCAGCAAACCTATGGGACAGAGTAGAATTGCTCTGCAAGGTTTCCAAGGTTGTGCATCTCGATGGGAGCAAGCAGCCTCGTCTTTCTCCCATTGAGCAGCTGGTGGGTTCTAACTGCTCATCTTGCCAGTAGCAGCCCAGCTAGTAACCCAGGATGTCACCACGACTTGTTGATATCTATTGACTGCTTAGTAACTATTAATTGAACCTGAATTCTATAGGAAGTTTCTCTTAGCAACTGTTTTCACCATAAATATTCGAGATAGTGGTTTACACTAAGATCCTGTGGACTTTAATGACCACAAATTGAACGCGGATGGTCTTCCAAGAGCATTTGCCATGTAGGAGTTCTTTTGGTGATAGTGGGTTGGTTTTTTTGGTTGTTTGTTTTTTAACAATCCCAAATCATTAGTGATCTGCATTGCTGGGATTAGAGGGTGCCAGTTTCCGATGCATAAAATTCCACGGCGTTTACCGAGGGTGCTCCCTGCTCTGAGGGGAAATAGTAGATGCCAAGGGAGGTTTAAGCATTAGGCAGCTCCCATACTCCGCGTACCTGGAATGTATACCTGCAAGCAGGCACTTCACTGCCCCACCGCGGATGCACAAAGGACAGCTATTGCATAGGCCACCTTCTAGCTCTATCCCCACCCTCTAAGTCGTCCTTTCAGACTACCCATCTGCCCCAGCCTCACCTTCCTGGTTTTCCTTCCGACCCACCTCAGCCCAAGTCCCACTGTGCCGGGAAGAGCCTGAAGTTAAGACGGGAGTATGGGACGGAACCGGAACCGCAGCCGCTGCGGGGAAGTTAAGGCCCAAAGAAACCACTAGGGTTATCACGTCCCTGAGGGGACAGCCGCCTGTTTGAAAGTTTTCCTGAGCCTTTATTTACAAGGGGCCCTGCTGGCACAGTGAGGTAAGCGTGGGGCAGCTAACCAAAAGGCCGGCAGGTGGTACCTAACAGCAGCTCTGCAGGAGGAAGATGAGGCACTCGTCTCCCTAAAGATGGGAAAGCTCAGGAACCCTGGAGAGCACTTGTGCTCTGTCCCGCAGGGTGGCCCTGAGTCGGAGTCAACACATCAGTGGGTTCCTATTTACTTATTTTCCTTTTTTTTTTTAAACAGTTCAATGGGCCCAGAATCCAACTATCACACAATTCAGTGGTGCAATCACATCAAGAAGCGTTGTACAATCATTATATCCGGTTATTTTTCTATCACTCTTTCGTGGCAAGCATAAAAGGTTTGATGGCACCAACAACCAAGTACATACAAACTGTCCGCGAGCAGAGAGCATTGTGTCAAGGTTGGGTGAGGCTTGCTAGCCTCAACCCCTTCCGACACGTCCTGCCCACAAAGAGCCAGGCAGGGTCTGCACCGAGCCTCACCCTTCTCGGTCGGACTACAACTCCCAGGATGCCCCGCGGCCTAGGAGCGCGCGTGCGCGTCGGTGGCGGACGGAGAACCAGCCGCACAGACTGCACGGTGGAGTTGGGGTGCTGCTGGCGGGTGGGTCCGGCAACTCCCTGGGACGCTGGCGGAGGCGGACGGGCGGCGCTGGGAACGAGCTGCGCGGAGCTGCCTGCAGTCCCGCGGGTCGGTGAAGGAGGTCGGTGGCCCCAGAGGGCGCCGCTCAGGTAAGCTCTGCCCGGGGCTTTCCAGGAAGTCCGTTTGCCTGAGCGGGCAGGGAGTCACACCGGCCATGGTGGCTGGAGAGGGAGAGCTTGCCGCCGCCCGCCCGGCC